TAAAGCTCAGTTTTCACTATGTGAATGACTCTATTCCAAGTTGCCATCTGTTTTATTTTGTTCTGTTCACTTTAGAAGCATCGATTTTGTTCAACTATCTTTTAGTGTGATGATGGAAAAAAACTGGCCTCTAAATTTGTTCGCGAGTAACATAAGTTTAATCCCTAGAGAAACTAAAACCCAACTAAATGGGAAAATTATAATCCAAAGATATAATCATGAGAGACATTTTGAAAGGACAAATAAAAAAAGAAAAAGCAAACCGATGGTCTCAGGCTGCAACTGATTTACGAAAATGAAAATTATAAATACAATACAATATTTTCAAAACTCAATTCATATTCAAATTAAGTTTTTAACATGTATTTTATGATTTATCTTAGTTCATTTGGCAAAAAATTAATATATTGATATTTAAATAAAAAATTACAAATTTATCGCAGTTTTTAAAATATTTACGAATCTACTGCACAATGTCACGTCCAAATTGGGCGTCACATGTCACGCCTCATTTAGGCGTGACACCAACATGGATCACGCCTAAATAAGGCGTAACATGTGACGCCCAATTTGGGCGTGACACATGCAGCCATGCTGCCTCCCCAGAGCGTGAATGGCTCAAAAATTTTTATATAATCCCCTACCATTCCATGCACTCCTCACATCTCTTCTCTACCATCAATTCTTACATTTTACATATATAATTATTATCTTAAATTTAGTCTTTTATTTTATTTGTCATTGCATTTTAAAATGAGTTCACATTCTGATTCTGTTCGTGTCGTGTTATATTACAATGGTAGGAAGGTGGAAGGTCGACGAGGTATCATGTTTGAAGGTGAAAAAAGGTCGACATGCATCCAACGCAACGCAACCATTTGCGAACTGCATCACAGAATTCGTCAGAAGTTAAGTCTTCAAGGTAACCAATGTATCACTCAAATCACCACAAGGTTATGGCAATCTGAACAATACATTAGTTTGCAAGTGGTTGACGATGAAGATGTCGAGATGATAATGAAAGAATTTTTCAACCAGTCAAGGAAAGATTTTCTGGAGTTGTATGTGGACATTGCCGGAGCAGAGGATATACCATTATCGGTGAGGTCAATTGCTTTAAATTCTCCCCGTATTGCATCAACATCTGTCGCTTATGCTTCTCCAATTGCTAACATTTCTTAGGGAGATAAAAATTATCCGACATGGGTTATGCATGACGACGACGACGACGATGAAAATATCGCAATGGAAGAACGTCTTCTGTCCAAGGATGTTAGTGCTTCAGAAGGAGATGAAGGTGGTGATATGGGCGCGTCTCAAATCCCAGTATATCATGAAACAGTGAAGCCTCAAATCCCGCAACTTAATGATGTTGGCTCCGCACAACTACTAGGTCATCATGAAGGTAATTTACATATTAATTCGTATGTGATATAGGATGTATGAATATCGTATTAAGAAGTTTTAATTCTTATATGCAGGTGACAATGCTGTTATTCCTTTTTGGGAAGGAATTCCACATTACACAAATATTGATTGGAGTTATCGGAGCGAACAAGAATCATGCACTGATTGTTCGGTTTCAGGATCGGGATCAATACAAGGTTCGTGGCAACTGGGTGATAAGTTATTTGTGAACCGAGAATTTGCAACAAAAAAGAGGTTCAGATGGAACTGAAGCACAACCTCATGAAGGAGCATCAAGATGAAATTGTAATTGAGAGCATGCCTGCAAAGTTAAGCATGAAATGTGGCGCGTATGATAAGGGTTTCCTGTGGCGCGTTAGGGCAAGAAAACCAGTGTTTGGTTAAAATTGGAAGATTACCAGATGGGGTGAGGATCACAACTGTTTGAATGACCGTATTTCTCAGGGTCATAGACAGCTCGATGCTGACGTCATTGCGGAGCTCATTCTAGGTACGTATTCTATCAAAATGTGCATTCTACTTTGAAAGTGGTGTGACTACTTATACGCGTTCTACTTAATGTGTATGTAACGTCTTCATTGGGAGGGATGTTAAGGGAAGAACCATCAGTATCAATTGCCCTGGTTCATGAAAGGATCACTCTAAATATGGATTTAAAGTTTCATACAGAAAGGCATGGTATGCGAAGCAGACAATGATTGCAATGATGTACGGTAATTGAGAGGAATCTTATGCTTTTTTCCCCAGGTGGTGTGAATACATGCTTCACTTTTCTCCAGGTTCTTTTTATCATATTCAAACAAATGATTATTATGTGGAGCATGGCATAGTTCCTGGAAAAATAGTGTTTCATCGCAATAATGTACGGTGATTGAGAGGAATTTTAGGTATTTTCCCAGGTGGTGTGAATACATGCTTTGCTTTTCTCCACGTTCTTTTTATCATATTCAAACAAATGATTATTATGTGGAGCATGGCATAGTTCCTGGAAAAATAGTGTTTCATCGCATCTTCTGGACGTTTAGACAATGTTGTGATGCGTTCAAACTTGTCAAACCAGTCATACAGATTAATGGCACGCATTTATATAGTAACCAACACCCTAGCATGTGAGCAATGTGCGCCTTCGTGAAATAAATCTCTCGATCATGATTCCCAGCTGCATCACTCCACCGGGCCCACAAACGATCGAAGAATGAGTCATGTAAAAAGTATGTGTCTCTGGTCTCCACCTCTCGACCAGAGCACTAATCAATGGGGCATCAATTTGAAATACATTATACAATTATCACATGTTATGTCATTGTATTGAATAACTACATAAATTGTAACGTCGTCAAGTGCATACTTGAATATGTCGCATGCGTGCAACATGTATAAATCCAGCCTGTGTGAACTAGTCGACAACCACGTCTGGAATAGCGTTGGCAGGTAGCCCCCCTATACCTTGCCACGCCTGGTCTGCAACTGACGCACATGTTCCGTATTCCACACCTGCTGTGAAATATGGGCACTCTGCGTCCTCTTCTAAAGGACCTCCCATCTATACGGCCCAGTTATAATATACATAGTAGGATCAGTAGGTTGTGCCTCGTGATCGGATGCAGAACCCCCAGATGATTATGAATCACCCATGATAAAAAAAACTATACAAAACAACTACCTACAACATGTAATAGCAAATTTTATTTACAAATTAATTAAGCAAAGCCCTAATTCACTATCAAAATTATTAAGCAAAAACCCTAGGTATTTACTACAATCGTAAGTAATGAAATAATATTAAACCTAATATACTAATTAATTTTTAATGAAATAATAATAATACCTAGGACACTAATTAATTAGTAATGACATAATATTAATACCTAAGTCACTAATTAATTCGTAATTAAATAATAATAATAATACCTAAGTCACTAAAAAGTTCCTAAGTCACTACAACATTTATAACATGGTACAAAATTCCAAAGTCACTATGACTATTTTCTAAGTCAGTAATATACGCTAAACCCTGTTATCAAAAAAAAAATATACGCTAAACCCCAGTTCATAATTAAATAATAATAATACCTAGGTAACAAAAAAATTCCTAAGTCATTAAAACATTCATAACATGGTACAAAATTCCTAAGTCACTATCATTATTTTCTAAGTCACTAATATACGGTAAATCCTAACATTCGTAACGAAGCACTGTAATTTAAACGTATACATAGTAAGTATTAAAAACTTACTTATGTTAGCAGAGTTTCGCTACGAAAAATTCCACGTAAGGTTGAGAGCATAATGGTCTTAGAGAGAGGTTAGAGTAAGAGTATGAAATGGTTAAAAAGGTAAAATGAGGAGTTTTTATAGGCTTGGTGGGTGATGCCTCATTTGGGCGTCACATGTCACGCCTGGTTTGGGCGTGATCCACTAGGATGTGACGCCCTCTTTGAGCGTGACATGTGACGTCCAAATGGGGCATGATTTTGTGCAATAAATGTTTAAATATTATGAAAACAACTATAAATTTGTAATTTTTTAATTACAAAGCATTATATTAGTTTTTTTGCCTAGTTCATTTATTCTGCGAGCTCTAATGCCACGTTGTATTAAAAACCCAAGTCTGCCCTACTGTTTGATAATGTTAACTTATACCGAGTGTATGCTGTTTCTCGTAATTTTTTTCATTTAATAATCACGATACTGTGAAATGAATGATATGTTAACAAATTGTTGAATGACAAGAGTAAAAACAACACGCATTATAACAAAAAAATATATAAAGAGTTCGTTTTTTTACGGAGAATGTAAATAATATTATTTTGGAACAAAAATCAAGATATTTTTATAATTATATAATTTATTCTAAAGTTAATTTTTATTATTATAATTTTTAAATCTTTTAACTCAAAACGAAATCGTTTTGAAAGTGAATATAAATAATTTATCTATGTCAACTTTAGAAGTTAAAAACATTAAAGCCATATATAAATCAGCAAGTACCACAAGAAAAAGCATAATCACCAAATTTACCACTCAATAAGATTTAAAGTCAAAGAAGATAAGTACAGATTTTTTTTCCTTTTGGAAAAAGATCAATATATTTATGGACTTAGTATTTGTCATTTAAAAGAATAGTCTTTTTAAATGAATGTAATACATTTTTTAAAATTTTAAATTACAAATTTTTTTCTCTCACTCTCTTTTTCTCCCATAATTTATTCCTCTATCTCTCTTAAAAAGATATAAATGTGTGTCCTTTTACTTTTCCCAATATTTATAAGGGGCTATATTTTCTCCAGCATCAAAAAACATCAATTTTTACTGCACATCCATGGAGAACCGTGTCAACAGTTTTTTCTTTTTATTTTATTAAATAATAAGACCCACTTCAAAAAAAATGTATCTATTGCATGAAATCAATTTGCCAGTTGCTGGAAGACTATGATTTCCCTATTTATAAACGATAGACATTTTATGCAACGGCTTAGAATAAAGCCCTACTTCGATAAAACGAAATATGTAGACAAAGAAAAGACTGCCGTAGAGGGGAAAAGAAGGTCACCACTCAATAAAATGACACAGCCACTTATTTCATATTTTCAAGCCAACGGCAGCAACTAATAAAATTTTAGACATTCCAAGAGAGAAGCTATTGCTAGGACTTAGTTTTTATTAACATACTAATAACAAGTCCTGACAATGCTCACGACTCACAGCATGCAATATGAGATTAGAGACGAGAAGTCTCAACATTAACTCCAAAGTTACATAAAAATTCATGGCATATACCTGCCCAGGTCCCATTGAAAAATTACTTTAAAATAAGCTACGAACTTGCCCCAAATACACGGATTCTCTGTTGGATTTGAACCCGGCAGCAAGGACAAACAGCCTTACCCTTTCTTCCATACTCATCACTGCAACTAGCACACATAACTTGGTGTGAACACGGCAAGAAAACAATGGAGACTTCATCTTTCTTACATATAATGCATTCTCTGTTGCTATTCACTTCTTTCTCTGAAAAATCCTCCAAATTATCTAATTCTTGAAGCAGCTTAGCAATTGTATCTCTTTGAGGCAATGCACCTTCAGATTCAGTTATAGGTGAAGTACTTGACTGGTGATGCAAGTCAGCAGACTGAGCAGATGCTTTAAGGCGCGAAAGCTCCTGCTCAACTCTTAATAGATCATCCTTGTGCCGCTGGAAATCTATCTCTATCTTCAGGCGTAAAGCCTCGAGCTTCCTCTTATTATTAGACTCAGCTGCTTCCTTAGAACGGCGTTCCTCCTCAACTAGTGCTAATGCTTCCTCTTTAGCCTTCAATTCCTCCTTCCATTTGACCTATGATAAGTAATTACACAAAATAGATGGTTCAAAGTAACGCGTGGTCTGTAACATCAAATAATTTTTTATTTTTCGAAGTATTTTCACAGAAACTGCAGTTTTCACACTAAGAATTTGCGGTGAGGAAAACGAACCAGTACAAATATATTGTATGGAGCTGACATAACTATAGCTAACTAATCGAAAGGACTTGAATGAAATCAACAGAAAGAAAATTCAGGTGTAATAATGTTCAATAACCAAATGCCACTTTCGGGATTATGAATAAGAAAACACCTAGAGAATATAATTTAGGATCATCAAGGATTGAAGGAAATGAGATTTTCGCATGCCCACAGAAAGAAATACCCATAAATACACAGCACGCAATCCCTGATAATTGGAACCAAATTATCTACAAAAGTAGATAGCTCCAAAATATTAGAAGAATTAGTGAATTCGTTAAATAGAGAATAATCCAATTGGTTCCAAATTGATTATAACATAAAATATGAAAGAATTATAACCTCTATTTCCACTAGATAGATAAAAAAGTAGACTTTGATATTTCAATTTGATGAGAACGAGAGAGAATGATGACCAGCACTCCAAATCAATCAAGGCTAGTATCAAACTGCAGAGATACATCTGATAATATGACGGCAAGGTGGTTTCTATGATTCAGATTAGTTTGGAAGAATCCGCCCAAAGAAATACCATGGTTCCAATAGGAATATAAAGTTGAAAATACCCGGGCAAAGACCAACACACCCAAAACTATGTAGCAGTTTCATTAGATATTTAGATTAGCTCAAATCAATTAGTTATATGTGTGAAGGCTACAATACTATAAACATATAATATGCGATATATTAATAGCATCTAAAGTATGAACTTCTATATGATAAGATGGAATAAACAACAACAGACAAGCCTTATCCCCATAGATGGCTACGTAGATAAATCATCACCATTGGGCACAATCACAAACCAAATTTTGAATAAAAACACCTATGAAGTTGTAAAATCTGGCCCAATCAACGACTCGGGGTACTGCGTCAATGGTTGGCTAAATTACCTAGTCATTGGTTGAACCCATAGATAAATACATGTCCATATTCCATACTCAAAATCCCAAAAAATCATAACACAGCCTAACCTAATGTAACAAGTCCAAGTTCCAAATTCCAAAACAGTATTACACAGGAACCTAACACATTTTTACAAGTTCAAGACATAAATACAATGTTCTACTAAGTTTAATAAAAATCTAAAAGCCACTAGGAATGTAAATTTGAACCATATGAACTGATCAAAAAGCTGTTTACAGTCAGTTCAGAGACAACAGATGAAGAAAAAGATGCTACCCTTCACCCATGGATCTGTGTTGTTATCACTCATTCTTCCTCAACAATAAACAGAGCATACACAATAAAGCGCATTCAATAACCATAGCTTAAATTCACTAAAATCTCTGTTTTTATCCTCACTTGAACCCCCCCTCCTCTCTTCCACCAATTGATGGAGTTTTGGATCTCCAATAACCCATCGCACATAGAGACCAATTTTTTGCATTTGCAGCAGCTCTCCTTTGCACCATTGAGGCAGTTGCAGCCTCTATTCACACAAAATCAGGAATTTCGCACTAGTCCACCCCACGTTTGCCAGCTTCGCACTAGCCCACCCTTGCTCCATACTCTCACACGTTCACACACAGCTTGCAGGTCCTATATTTCACACATAGGTCCTCCTCAGCCTCTATTTTGCACACAAGTGTTACTTCTCCAGCCTTTGTTTCATACACAGGTTCTCCCCTAGCCTTGGATTTTCAAGTATTAATGACGAATGTGTCTTAAGTTTGAGTACTTCGGGTTTTCAGTATCAATTACGCATGTATTACAAACTGTAAAAATTTTACATTCCATCCACTATCTTTGGCCTACAGCTGCTCTATGATCTACTACGCAGTTATAGCATTTTTTGGAGTGGCTGCTTCATGCCACATTCTACTGTTAACTCCTTGAAGTGTCCCATAGAATTTGAAGTGTTGAGTTTTGCCGTGTCTAACAAAAACGTCAAATATGTGTCCAACACAAGTATGGCTCCTTTTTTAAGTCTCTGTTCTTCATAGCATACACAGTACATTGCAGATGCAATATGTACGAATTATGAAATGCAAGAAAATTAAGAAAAAAAATACAACATTTTCATCTTTTTCAAGTCGCAATTATTAACCAGTACACTGAACTATAAAGTTTTAAAATCTTAAATTTTGATATGCATTTGATTATACAGGTTAAAAATGCCAAAGTACTTCATGCAGAAACTATCAATTTCAATGTGATTATAGTTAACTGTGCACCACACTAGTCTAGGCCATATTGATGTCTGATTTTGAAACATGTTACTTTTTTTGGTAAGACCATGAGGTGTCCACCTCTTTTGGCTGTAGGACTAATCCCCATTGGGTGTAGGCTTGCCCACAAGGTGCTTCCAATGGGTTTCAAGCCCCTGCACTACAGGTAAAGTTCACCCACATGGAGCACAATTTGCAATTTTGCAAACTGAGCCACACCTTGTGGTTGAAACATGTTACTTTTATTCTGACATGAGAGATGCAACTCCCAATCAGTATCCTCACTCTATGCAAACAGAGAGAAATGCTGCAAAACATTTTCTTTTCGGTTAGGTGGTCTGTGTGTGACATTGTCAATATACAAATAAGTAATGGGGGATAAAGAGCAAACCTCAGCTTCTTTTTGACGCTGTCTAATCTGAACCAATGCTTCTTGTGTCTCCAATATCTTCTCTTTTTCATCAGAAATCTCCTGCTGTAGTTTAGCTTTCTGTTTTTCCCAAGCTAGAAGTTTCTTCAAGCATTTTTTCTCCCTTTTTGCAACTTCTAAACAAGCTGTTACTGACTCTGATGCACTTAATTTGGAAGCCTCCATCTCTGCTTTGATTTCTGCATTCTCTGTCTCTAGTCTTCTCACAGCTGCATTTGCACGGTCCACTTGACCACTAGCCTTTCTCAAGGCATTCTCCATCTCTGAGAGTCTCTTCATGGTTGTATCCTCAAGTGCCTGTTTCCCTTTCTTCAATTTTTGAGTCTCCTCTCTTTCCATTCGTAACATTTTGAGCTCAGTCAGATCACTGCTTAGCTTTCTTGCTGCTTGCATTGCCTTCTGATGAGCCCAATCTTTTCGCTCCTTGACCTGTTTCTCAAGATCCTTAATCTGATGAAATAAATTGACTATCACCTCATCCTTCTGATCCTCTGCCACAAGCTCCAAATTCTCATCAAGATTTAAATCGCGAAATTTACTCAGCACTGAGTTGACAGCATCTTGGCTATCAAGATTCTTAGCATCTCCAGACTGCTCAACCAAGACTTCTGTTCCCGATACAGCCAAAGAATCCAGATTAGACACGGTGGTACTACGGCCGGGAAAGGCCTTCACCTGTGTCTGCAATTGTTGGGAGTTTGCCCGAAAACCAGCAGCAAACATAGCAACATTTCTCTTCAATAAGGACTTCATGGAAGGAGAAAGATTAAACCTCTTGGGGAATTCAATATCCCTTTGCAACTGCAAATTCTTCTCTGCACCACAAGAGAAGAACCCAGTCACAGAAGAATCCAAGCCTCCCCCATTTCCATATCCCCAACCACCATGAAACCTACACAGAGCTGGAGCCATAACACCAACTGAATTGCCACCAGCCTCAACAGCAGCAGGAACAGGGCAACCGTTGCCGGGCACCGGAATTTCCATAGTGCTAGCCCTTCCCATATGAAGATCACTCATGAGCAAACACCACATGGCATCACCTTTACTCAAATGAGGCCTCACTTGTTGCAACAAACACACCATACCCGCCAAAGAGTACTCCTCTAACTGCCTCAAGTCAGAGAACACAGGCTCAGACTCATCCAAATTCCCATTATTACCAACACCATTGCTATTCAAAAACGCTAAGGAGTTGTGCAAGATATTTGTCAGCACATCCATGCCACCATAGCAGTGCCCATTTCGCAATATGGCTTTCACGGCAACGTCCTCATCATAGCCCAAAGCAACAAGCTTTGACACAGCTTCTTTGTATATGAATTCCAAGTTTTTCAACAGGATCTCTTCCAATTGCTCTTCGGTGCAGTAACCCCATCCAGTTTCCTCGAGATTAGGGTTCGGGTTAGGATTCTGATTCTGAGAAGAATCGTTAAGAAATTTAAAGGGCTTGAGACCAGACTCGGCTATGGATTTGGATATGGCATCCCCGTCGCATGAATCCGAATCCGTTTTCGCCGATCGAGACCTCCGATTAGCTCTGATGTGCTTTTCCCTCATCGTGCAACCCATTTATATTTATTTTTAGGGTTTTTTTCTATGATTTTGTTGATTTTTATGTGGAGATAGATGAATAAAAGGGGTAGAGAAGAGAGAGGTTAGAAATCGAAAAAGAAGATCAAGATCGAAACTCGATGAAAGGAAGCGAAGAGAGAATACTCACAGAGGGGGATGACGATCGAATCAAATATTGAGACAAACGAACGAACCAGAGAGATAAGAGCGAGAGAGAGGAGGGAGGTTGTTAATGTTATCGTATTTTGGTTTTTGGAGAGTTCAGTAGTGAGAATCAGAAGCTCATTGGGTGCCTGGGGGTCAGGTCTCAGGCTCAGCTCTGTGCACTTCTTACAAAGGCTTGTCCTCTATCTACCTGAGCAAAGGAATTTTAATAGATTATTTTTGGGAAAAAAAAAATTTATTCATATTTAATTAAAATTTTAAAAGATTGCAAACAAAATCGCAATTCATTGATACTCAATTGATATAGATTTCGTGAGACTTTTTTACTGGTAAATGTAACTAGAATGTCGTCTCACAATCGTACTCTAATCCCTAAAGGGTGTATTGGATTGAGATTTTTTAGGATTTTAATAAATTGTTTTTGGACAAAAAATTCAAAGTGGTATTCGATTAGGATTATAAAAGATTATTTTAGAGTCCTTCCAAATCTGTTAGTATTCAATCAGTATTTTAAACAAAGAAAAAATAATCTTATAGTATTCAAAAATCTGACGATATTAATGGACTTTCTATAGATGTGGATTTTGTGAGACTTTTTAGTGAGAGATATAAATAGGATGTCTCTCTTACAATCTTACCCTAACCCCTAGGATTTCGAGATTTCTCTATTGCAGTATCTTCTTCTTTCTTTAGCAGATCGTCAACCCGCTTGAAATCGAGTTCTGCCAAGGGAGCTTCATCAAAGCTCAAAAACAACATATCTTTGAGCGATTTTAATCACAAAACAACCTAGAAACGACAACCCAACAAGATTTTAATCTAACTCATATAAAAACAGCAGATTTTGGAGCAATTTTTGAAAGTTTAAAAAATAATTTTTCAAGCTATTGGTCATGATTTTTCTTGGTAGGAAAATATGTGATTTTTGTATTAAAAACAACATAAAATAGTGGGAAAACAACATGGTAACAAAAACTCCCAAGAATAATTTTCATTTTACATCAGTGAAACAAGATCAATTTAAATAAAGATTGAAACTTTCATAACATGAACCTGTTTCATAATAATACATTCACGAACGAAATTCCTTCGTTTTTGGAAATGATTTCAAACAGTTTTTGTATCTGTATATCACTAAAAACTTATTTTTCAAAACCCCCAGAGCAATTTAAGATTTCAATGTGTTGATTGAAAATAATTTGAGAATTTTTCTAAAGTTTCATGTAATAAAACCCATAAATTCAGATTCGAAATTTTCTTGAAATACTCAATGAAAACATGCATATGATATATGATTAGAAAACTCTCATCACGTCGAATAAAAATCTCAAAGTTTACAAGATCAATTGCAAAAAATTTCAAATAAAAAAGTATCATGAATTTTACTAATTTAGAAAATTATATTATGTTTTACTTTTTTTTATTAAGATCATTGCATTTCTTTATTAACTTTTTTTATTAACTCTAGTAATTTTGAATGTTTGTTAAAATTTCATATGGTTTTTAAAAATCTTATAAATCCATATTGTCCTTTCAAATCTTATAAATTCTATTAAAATCCTTTAAAATCTAATCTTATGAAATATTGATGATAAAAAAAGTATTTTAAAAAAGTCTTTAAAGTCTCTCCAATTCTAAATAGTCTTTAAAATCTATAAGATTGATTACCAAAAAAAAAATCTATAAGATTTTTTATCTCAAAAATGTCTTTTAAATTCTTAATCTAATACAACCCCCTAAGATTTATTAAGATTTCTCTATTGCAGTATTTTCTCTACCTTTGGCAAGTTAACCCGCTCGAAATCGGATTCCGACATGAGAGATTCGTGAAAACTCAAAATAGCATATTTTTGATTGATTTTCATCACAAAACAATCCAGAAAAAACAAACCAAAGAGATTTTAATATAATTCATCTCAAAAATAGCATATTTTTGAGAGATTTTGGAAGTTTAAAAATAATTTTTCAAGCTATGGGTAGCGATTTTTCTTGGCACAAAAAATGTGATTTTTGTATTAAAAACAATATAAAACAGTGGAAAAACAACAAGGGAACTAAAACCCTCAAACCAATTTTCACTATACATCAATGAAACAATATAAATTTAAAGAAAAATTGAAACTTTCATAATATGAACCCTAAACTTCATAAATATACATTCATGAACGAAATTTCTTCACTATAGAAAACGATTTCAAATAATTTTTGTGTCAATGGATAACTAAAAACTTGTTTTTCAAAAGCCTCAAAGCAATTTAGATCCAAAATTTTCTTAGAATATTCAATGAAAACATGCATATGATATATGGTTAGAAAACTCTCATCATATAGAACAAAAATCTCAAGGTTTTAAAACGAAATTTTATCATGAACTTTAGGTTCTATATGAAAAATTTAGAATTATTTTAATAGTTAAAAAAATTGGGTCTTATAATCATATATGCATAGCTCTAATACTAATTGAAGAAGATAATTTTCAACCCATTGATCAAACCCAAGAGCAGGAACAAGAAAATGTTAATGCGTATAGGACTAATATAACTTTAGATATGTGGAGAGTTGTTGCTTAGTAAGTTTGAATGTTTGTCAAAAATTATATGATGTTTTATTGATTGAGAAAATTATATTAGTTTTTATTTTTTTATTAATTTCATTGCATTTCTTTATTATTATTTTTATTGACTCTTGTAATTTTGAATGTTTGTTAAAAATTCATATGGTTTTTTAAAAATTTATAAATCCATATTATCCTTTCAAATCTTATAAATTCTACTGAAATCATTTAAAATCCAATCTTATGAAATCTTGATTGTAAAAAAAGTCTTTTAAAAAGTCTTTAAAGTTCCTCCAATTCTAAATAGTCTTTTAAAATCTATAAGATTTTTATCTTAAAAAGTCTTTTAAAATTCTAATCCAATACACTCCTCTTAATTTTATTTTTTAATTTTATATCTAGTAAAATATAATAGGAAGCCTTAAAAAAGACTATTTAGAAAGTATGTCTTAAAATTTCTTTTATAAGGATCGGCCTATAAGTCTACTATATTAATTATTTTAAATAAAATTATTATTTAAATAATTTTGTATAATAAAATAATATTACTATAATTATTTTTTTCAATTCTTGAATGCATAATAGGCTTAATCAGGCTGACAGGCCTAGGTAATGCCTTTTATTTTTTTAAATATAGATAAGACCATATTTATAATTTGGCCTACAACCTTTGCTTTTTGGGTAGAAAAGTGAAATAATAAGATTATGAAACTGATAGACATTAGCTACATGTATGCTTATTAGTAAACCCATCAGCTCTATATCATACACGTGCATCATTATCATTTGTATACTTCAACACCCCCTATAGACACACACAAGCTGGGCGGTGAACATCTCGAAGCCCTAGCTTGGCAACAAGAGCACCGAAAAAGGAAGGATGCAATGCCTTGGTGCAAAGGTTAGCGAGTTTGTTAGAGGAAGAGACTGGGAACAAACGTAGCAAACCAGTGCAAAGTTTCTAGCGGGTAACATGAATGTCGATCTCAATATGTTTAGATCGCTCATGTAGGGTAGGGTTCTTGGCAAGATAAATTGTAGAAACATTATCACAGTAAACGGATGCAGCTGTAGAACAAAGGAAATGAAGGTCGCGAAGCAAGAAACTGATCCATTGAAGCTCACAAGTCATGGATGTAAGAGCTATGTACTCCGCTTCCCTAGACGAACGAGACACTGTAGGTTGCTTTTTAGAATGCCAGGCAAAATCGGTGAAGCCACCCAATTATAGGGAGGTCTAAGAAGAGAAAAACAACCCAGTTGCTGGAGACCCCTTGATGTAATGAAGAACACGTGTTGCTGCTACATAATGATCAAAAGTTGGAGCACTAACAAACTGGCTTAGCTGTTGAACGGAGAAGCATATGTGTAACACCTCATGTGCACCTGGTGTATTAAAAATATAAATGGTAATAAGCGCAACTCAATAAATGTGGAAGCTAAAATTTCCAATTATGATTCATTAAAATCAACCAAGTGAATCTTTTTCAAAAAAATCGCATGTATGTAAATTGCAGTAAATAACTAAACTGAATAACCTCATAATATAAATAATGTATCAAGTCATGAAACTACAACACGTAGACCAGACATGTCCTGATACAATAATACAACTCCAGTCTGAATATCACAGCTTATTCAAATATGGCATAGAAAATCCCCATACTCACCAAATAAAGCAACATAATCATCAAATCATGTCTCAAGTACAATAACCATAAAGGTATAACAGCAAGGCAAAAATTATAATAACATAACAAGGTGCATTCATCATCTCAACTCAGCTCCGGCCTCTTGCCGCTAGAAGTCTCAACCTCAGAAGTACCTGTACTTGAAAATGTGCCCCACACGGGGTGAGATCTCTGACAAGAAATCTCATTAAGACAAGGAGTCCTCAAGATCTCTCCACCCCAAGCTCACTTACAAATATAAATTCAAAAATGATAACAATAGTAAAATGGCAAAATCTGTGCAATGCAGCAGATGTCCATGTCATGTGTGTATGCATCCTACTGGCCAGAGAACAAAACGTAGGCATTATGCACGTCTACAACCCACAGTACAAGGAGTCCACCATGTACCTCACACACAGAGTTACCATCTAGCATGTGGCCTGACCTACTCAAGGATTACTGTCTCGTGTGGAATACCCAACATATATATACATATGGCAAATGCACTATATAATAATCCAGCTCAACAACATATCCAATATTCATCATATAAATAGTTATATTTTCAGAAAAATACATCATGCATATAAACCATCCTTCCATGAGATTTAGTGGAACCATCAATGGGAAAAACCGAGAACACAAAATCTTACCTGCAGTGCCAAAATCTCTATCCAAAGGCTCGGTATACATAGATACACCAATAGTCACACAATCTGACAATTGCAATCTGTTTTATATCAAGACATTATTAATATTCATAAATCCCAAATTTCATATCAATTGAGCAATGTTTTCTCTTTCGTTTAGTGACTCAAGTCCCTCCTAAACTATAATTATAGCATATTAACCCTTACTATTATTTGTATTTATATTTTCAATAGTAGCACTGATTTCCTAGGGTATTATACCCTAATTGGGCTTTTCTACGC